TAAAAATTAATACATTTTTTATATTCGTAGGTAAATTTGCCTACTTTACAGTTTAAGGGATAATAAGATTTCATTATAATAGACTTTTTGATTCAATTTATTTTTATTGTAAATATAATATACAACATTTAATATAAATATATAAGCTAAGAATTAATTAAGAATTAAAAAAAATGATCTAAACTGATCTAATTTTCTGATACTAATTTATCATGTATTTTTTTTTATAATCTTCTTAAACTATTCATTAATTTGTCATCAATTTCAAACTTTTCATCCTGCTGTTGTATAAATTTTATTAATTTCTCACATGATTCTAAAGCTTAATTTCTATTTTAATTTTAAAATAATAATCCTTAAAATCATTAGACTCATAACAAAACAACAGCAATAATTTCTTCTATTTTCAGCATTGAATTAACTTCTAAATAATCATCACATTGAATAAATTCATTGGCATTTAACATATTTAGTAAATAGCTTCACCTTGATGAGAAGATTCAAATGATTATTTTTGTAAGTGAGATATTGATTAAAATATATTTATAAAGATATGATAAATTTAGATATAGTATGGGATTGGGATAGGATGAGGTTTTATAGTATGAGGTATAGGCAGTAACTATAGTTTTATGTGATTTAAACAAACTGAATATACTATATAGAAATAATTTAACATTCCTATATTAATCCCATATTTTTTTTTACTCGGCATTTTGATTATAAATATACACATATATTACGATTATTTTAGGCTATATATATAATATGGGCCAAAGTTATAATGCCAATTTCAGAATCAAATATAATTAATTTATAAAAAAGTATTAATTAACATTAAATTATTTAAAAATAATTTCTTAATAATTTTTTATTAACATTCAAAGAAAATCAATTTATTGGATGTTTTATAGTGTCATCATTATTCAAATTATTCATAATATTTAGTTTTGATTATAACTGTTTACTAATGTATAATGTATATAATCGAAAATTATGCCTTGTATCACGAAATTAAAATTAAAATTTATCGGATGGTCATCAAGTAATGAAATTAGCTGTAAAGTATTTTTTTTTTAAAAAAAATTTTTTTATTTAAATCTCAAACTTTCGATTTGCTTAAGTACTTTGCTTTTAAAATTCCATAATTTAATTTTAACTTACAAATTCTAATAAAAATTGTTTGTTATAAATAAATATATCAAAAAATCACTGCATCACGAATAATTCAAAGCGATAATGGCTATCATTTATTCATACTTTTGTTGCTTTAAAAAATATTAAAAATAAATAATCAAAGTCAATAATTTGAACAGGGCTTCATGAAAGTAGTGAAAAGAGTAATATTCAAAGTCATTACTATTAACGCAAATGCCTTTTACACTGTATTTAAATTTGTTCGAAAAATTATTTCACATATGATAAATAACTCCTAATAATCTTTTATTTTGATTAGCATGGATGTTTATTATTTAAAAAAAATTTGACTTGTTTTATTATTTAACAAACCAACACGTTTTAACGATTAATCATATAACAATAAAATTTTGCACTTTATTAAAATCAAGTATAGTATTTATTAAAAAGGTAATTTTATATACGTCATTAATGTAGTCAATTATTTTTAATAAAATATAATGAATCAATTTTTCTTGATATGATACTCCAAGGATAGATTGTCCAACTACATGGCGAGTTCAAATTGAAACTTATTTATGAATTTCTAGATGAATGAAATTTATTTCAGGCGCATCCATGAATAAGTAGATAATGAACTTTGAAGATCTTGAAAATTTAAAGACACGTAAAAGGTATGAGATTTTGTCACATACATATTTAAAATAAATCTATTCCTGAGAAAATCTCTCATAAATATTATTCCTATGACATTTGGCACAGTACTGCTGGACGTCTTTTATTTTTACCATATATGTTCGCACATTGAAATTTAACTTTTATTTTATACAAAAAAACTTTTGCTGTTGTTATAGTTCCCAAATTATTCCTGATGTCACGATACAAAGAACAAACCTATTTCTAGTTAAATTTGTTTGATGATCATTATCAAATAAAATATATAATTGATAATTAATTTATTGAATAAATAAAGTCAAATTATCATTTAGGACGAAGTAAATAATTTTTTAGTTAAAAAAAGAAATAGCTAAAATGCTAAAATCGTATCAAGGCGTAAGAAGTTGGTAGGATAAATGTTATGTTTTATTGAATTTTAAATATGCAGGGCAGAGACATTTTAAGGAATCGGGTAAATTTGGTAAACTAGTTATTTGAGTTTCACGGCACCAGAGATCCGTTAAGGAGTTAGGTAAAGTTGGTAAGTTAGTTATGAGAGTTTCATTGCAATGGAGTTCTGTTAAGGAGTTAGGTAAATTTGGTAAACTAGTTATGGGAGTTCCTTTGCAGTTAAGATAAGTCAAAGAGTTAGGTAAAGTTAGTAAACTAGTTATGAGAGTTCCTTCGCAGTTAAAATGAGTCAAGGAATTTGGTAAAGTTGATAAACTAGTTATATAAGAACAGCTACAATCGAGTTTTGTCAATTTTTGATATTTTTGCAATCTTCCAATATCATTCTCATTAAAATCTGTAATAGTTAAACTATCAATGGTATCATCATAAATAATTAATTCAAGATGACTGATTCTCTCTTCTAATTTATTAATAATTCCTTGCTTTTCTTTGGATATTTCTTCTCGTTCCCTAATCATTTCTTCTAAGTTATTAATAATGGCCTTGGTTTCTTCTTCTCGCTCCCTAACCTTTTCTTCTAAATATTTGAATTGTGAACGTAACCCTTCATTACTTTGCTCTAATTCTTTAATTCTCTTTTCCAAGTCATTTAGGATTTTTTCTAAATTTTTCTTTAAAACCATTTTTTTTGTATTAACTTGTTCTGCTAATTTTTTTCAATGTGTTCTATAACTTTTTTCTTGTATAGAAATTTACCAATAGAAATCTCTTTATTTCTCAGCCTTCGGTTTTAATTTTTCCCATACGTAACTCTTTCTATTAATGATCATACATTGGATCGTCTTACCAATTTAAGTATTCCGATTTCTGTATGATTAAGCTTAATAAATATTAGGGTATATAACAAACCTGTTTAGTATGAAAAAACCATATGTATTGTTTTTATACAATTACCCTATGTAATAAAAAATAAATAGACAGTATTACCATCACGAATTTGTTGAGGATGTTAAAAAAATGTACAACATTTGAATTTGTGACAATTAAAAATAGAAAATTGATAATTTTTTTTTTGAATTCAAGTACAATTAATTAAACGAATAATATTTTAGCAATTTATATAATCATTTTCTTATTAATCTATATGCGAAATCTTTTGTTTTTTATCCACCAGAAAATCTATACTGAACTGATTGCGGTTATCTAATGTGACAATTATGCCAACCAGCGACTAAAAATCAGTTTATGAAGTATCTACAAAAATTACGCACTGTTATTATGTCATTAGAAACTCAAAGAGCTAAATTAAATCTTGCAAAAGCTCCTTTAAATGAATAAAATTTACAAATAAGCAACTTCAAGAAACACACCAAATTGTAAATAGACTAATACAACCAAAAGTAAATTCGGGATCGGAAAATATCAATCAAATGAAGCATGAAAATTTTAAAACTTTATTTTGTAAAGACAAATAATTTATTAAGTATTTTTTATATTTAAAACATTAACTTTTTACGAATTTTTTATAATATTATAAATATTTTATAAAGAAGAAAAAATGTTATCTTGAAAAATCTACCGGACAGGTTAAAGTTGATACTTTTCCAATTTTAATAATGAAGGCTTGTGGCACACCATTATTGATGTCAAGTGTTGCGAGTTAAATTTGTCGTTTTTGTGACAACGAAAATTGAAAATACTCCAAGGATTGCATATTTGAGGAATTTTTTAGAAAGAGAAGTTAAAAATTAAATTAACCAAAACAATAATAATAAAATAATAATGAAAACATGATGCTTGACTTAATTTGCCGGTTTATAAAGTCTGAACAAAAAATACATAAGCTTTAGCTATATCTTTGACACTTTTTGTAAATTGATATCATCAATTTTTTTGCCATGATTAATTTCCGATGAAAAACTTCTGATTGCCGATGTTCTTTTTACAAATGCCACAATACAAGTTCCATCAGGGTACATATAATTTTTGTGGTAAACTCCTCAGTGATGTCAAAGGCATTATACCATCTTTAAAGATTTGAATATTCGTGTTATGATAAAGATGTATTTTGATCGTCACAAAAAAAAATTTTATTATTCTTTATACATTTAAAATAATTTTTAATAAATTTATGTAATTTGCACACCATGCCATTCATTATCAGTATATATCTCTCGTTTACGGAAATGACAAGCATTTACTTGCCAAATATAATAAAAATACCAAATTACTATGAATCGTTAAAGCTTGTGCTGTGTCGACACTCAGTTCCATCTTATTCGTTAAATTATTGACAAATATTTTGGTGTTCAGGATGACCGAACTTAGATATATGTCTAAAAACAAGTTAATTTTTAATGAATCTAATAAATGAAAATATTAAAAATAATAACTAAATGCAACAATTTTTTGATTATTTTAGGTTCAATAGTAATAATTTCATAATTTGACACAAAAAACATTGTTTCTGAAGAAATCATATTTATATAAATTTTAGATATTTAATGTAATGTAAAACTGGTAATAGAATTGATTTGATATTTGTTTTTATTACGTCATTCAACATCATTCAACATTAAAGGTCTAAAATATATAAGTGAAAATTAAATTTAAAAAAAAATAAACTTTTTCTATTTTTTATCTTCATAACAACAGAGCTTTAATTGTGGTTCAAATACTATATATTATAATTCATTCTATTTTTAATATTACAACAAAGTTTAACATATTAAAATCGGTAAAATTATCCTGACCCGACGGGTTTTAATTCAATTGGATTCGTGTCAAAAAATGATAAGCCCGATCAAATTAATTCTCAAGTCAGGTCGAATGACCTGGGTCGATTCGATCAACTATTAATTACTATCCAGTTCTATATATTAAAGTTTATTAGCTAACATCTATTTTGAGTTATTCCTTTTAATATTTATATCTGAATCTCGTCTAACTGATTAACAGAGTTAAACTAATGTCAGTGAAACCTAGATTTTCTAAATAAATTTCTTAATCTAGTGATCTCTATAAACTGGATCAAATAATTACTGGTTTCTGTCTATTTGAAGAAGCATTAAAGATTTTTGCGGATTTTCCATATCAAATTCAAGGATCGATCAAAGGAGAGCACCTATTTTCGTGGCACATTTTGCGGTCAATCCGATCCGATCAAGACAAATAGATTTATAATTACTGAAAAAAAATTTCAAAGTCCCCATAATTCTTAGTAAAATGAAACGCGGAGGGAAGTGACACCGGTGACAAATTATACGTGAAATTTCGTGACATTTTTAAGCTGGGGAAATCAGGGCTGACATACTGCGGCAAAGACCGAATTTATATTGAATTGATTGGATGACTTGTATTGAGATGATGGATCATGTCAAAAGCTATAGATTTTAAACCAAGTAAATTTTTTTTTTAAGAGCTGGTAATTTGATATTTTTTTAAAAAAATAAGAACGGGAAATTTAAAAACGGTTGATGTTTTATTCCTTCTAATAAAATTGAAATATTCATTCCAGTATCCTGGTTTGCCGCTATTTTTATCACTAATGAATAGCTTTGGAACTAAGTTTTGTAAGTAATGCTAACTTAAGAAATCATTAGAATTCATAAAAAGACATTTCTATTATTACTTGAAGGGCCAATCCTTCATGTCGACAATGTGATTAAACAGAAGAATTACTAACAAGTCAGACATGGATTCCCCGTGACTTCAACTATATTATTTAATATCGTAATCTGAGTGTACGTTGGTTCATTTTACAATCAACATTTAGTTATAGGATTATTGAAAAACAATGTGATTCTTACCTTCAAGGCCATTGGGTTGTTGACTAGTGACAATAGTGTACTACTTAACTTTAAACTAAGGCATCGGATCATGGTAACATTATTTTTTGTTTAAATTTAGTTAAGATCGAGCATGTATTCCGACAAAGACTAAGATATCTCCGATCATTTTGTCTTTAAAATTCAACTATAAAACCTTTAGAAGAAGTATTAATCAATTCCAATTCCTTTCAATAGCTTAGTTTCCCTTGAATTATTTGTAACGATGACGATTCTTGTATCTGATCGTACAGAGCGCCAGTACGTCTGATTAAAGTAGGATTAGCCATTTTAATTGAAAACTTAACCTTCTACTTACCTTTCTATTTCGTTTATTTAAGCATAAGAGCCCTTCTGCGTCAATATGTGACGCCGGATTTTTATACGGTATGGTTACAATTTATTATTTTATTTTTATTTTATTTGCGTTGCGTCGATCAAACGATAAAAGTTTTTTTTTTTGTTCTCTTTCGAATTTAAGTTGCGTGAATTAAATAATAATAGATAAGTGTTTTTTTTTTACTTCCTTTGAATTTTATTTTATTTATTTTAGTTGTTTTTATTCCATATTCAATCGTTTCAAGAAATGCATAGGTTAAACAACAAGTAGCTATTGTTATCAAATAATTTCATCATATATCTGATTGTGTCACTGTGGCAAATTTAAATCTTTTTTTTAAACAAAAAAAAATAATATTTAAACAACCTTTATCCCTTGAGGTAGATTCCTTCTCTACCTTTTAGTACTAATATTAGTATTAGTAGTAGTATCAGTATTAGTATTATTATTAGTATAAGATAATAATAAGGTATATAATAATGGACGTTTGTTAGCATTACATAAATTGCCTAAAAAGAAGATTTTTTGAGAAAAAGAAAATTTTTTGTTGCTCAAAGGTTTAGAAATCTGGTTTATATTAATAATATTACACTAAATATTTTTTACTATAGTAATGATCCTCTTTTATTATAGTATATTAAATCTGGCATTGTCATTATAGTGCAGTAGATAAATAAATCACAATAAAATGATTTAAATTATTAAATTAGCTTCAAAGTTATGTAATTTATACAAATACTATAAGTTTATTTTATAATTCTTAGTTGTTGCTAATATTTTAAAATTTAAAGTTAGACTCCTATTTTATTAATCCAAAAGGTTATAATGTGCTAAATAATATTATTAAAAGATTTACTAATAAGTCTAATCATTTTTTCTATAATAGTTAGAGATTTTTCATATAGATGCTTTCTTAAAACTTTTCAAGAAGCCTTTGCCTAGGGTTTTACTAAACGGCTTGTTACTATTTAAATAACCTTCTTTTTTTACCTACCAATATATCTTTACTACAACAATATTATTAGTATGTTCCTTACTTCCAATATTTGATGAGTTGCATCATTTGTCAAAATTTACTTTTTATATTGTTTGCTACCTTCCTTTATTTCTAATAAGCTAATGGGTTGATGTTGATAAGACATAAAAGCCAAAACCTACAAAAATATTTTGCAAAATCATGGAATTATCATGCAAAAGTTACCATACAAGAAGATGTTATTTTTAAAGGTTGGTGGTAATAAGCCTTGTATGCCACCCACAAATAATGTGTGTATATGTTTGTTTATATGTCATGAACTGCGCCTACATATCTTAAAAGAAATTACTACGCCTTGTTCCCTTGACGATCTTGCGATTGTAACATTTCCGCATTTTTACCCTGATCAATTGATATTTTTAAGAAAGTTATTAAATCTTTTAACTATAAATAGAATTATGTATACAAATAGGCTCGCTTTTGTCTTTTGTATTATATAGGTGAATTCAGAGGAATTTCTATTAAGGGCATCGTTAGAGG